TACAAAGATCATGTTTTAATTTTACTAATAGCAAAAGAAAAATCCATTGATTTTCCTGTCCAACCCACCAGCCAATCAAACTTATTTCTCCAATCTTAGTTATGGAGCAAAGAGAAAAGATTAATTCTAATTCTATTTATAATGCACTTCATTATTTCTTATGTTCATACTCTTCTAGTCTTATTTAGAAAGTAGAGAGAAAGATTAATTTTGCTCATATTTATAAAGTACTTTACTATTTTGTATGTTTATTTCTACCTTTATGTCCTTATTAAAACTATGAAAAATTATTAAACTTAATTCTTTTTGTCATTATTAGGAGTAGAGATAAAAACTTATAAATTTTAAGATAATGTTAATAAAATTTAAAGTTTTTCTTGATTTTGGTAAAATATACTCATAGTAATTTATAAATAAGACTAGAGAATGCATTTACCTTTCTACCCTTATTGAATGTTAAAAAAATTATTAAAAATATTTCTTTTTGCCCTTATCAAGCGTAGAGGTGAAAACTTATTAAATTTTAATACATAATTAATGATATTTACAATTTTTTTTATTTTGATAAAATATATTGAAAATGAATTATAAATAGGATCAAGATGTATTAAGTTAGTTAATTCATACATAGCTTTTCCACAAACACTTCTCATACTGTTTTTTTTTTCCCTACCTTTTATGTTGTTATTTATTGTTACATTCCAGCTATAATATAAGCCACTGTTGATTAATTTACATTTTTGAAAACATTATTTAAAATTATATTTTTTTAAAAATATTTACATCTTTTCAATCATACTTTTAAATAAAATAAATATAATATTTAACTTATTTAAAACATGATCATCAATTACTTGAGTTAATAAAGTAAAGGAATAATTGACTGCCAAAAAAGTAAAGGAATAATTATATATATGCACCTTATATTTTAGACAATGTAATTTTTAAAAAATGTCATATACTACTATATTGTAATTGAAATGAATAATATTTAGTGGCAACCAGCTAATTAATTTTGACTGGATCATAACTGTTTCCGCTGGTCCATGTTTCTTGTTTTTGGGGAAAAGAGATTTTGTCTTGATGAGCTTCTCCATGGAATACATCGACAAGTGTTCCGAAAATTAAGATTCCAATGGATCCTCAAACTCAGTTCTCGATCTCTCCAGTTCATCATGTGGCTGTCCATCCAGTGCATCACATTATAGCACATGACATTCATTGAACGATCTGGCTAATTTAATAATCATTTGATCGTCCACGTCACGTAATTTTGACTTGTCTTTTGCTATTTCTAATTTTATTTATAAATTATTTTTAAAATATTTATTAAAATTTAAAAATTTTAACTTTTATTAATTTTATCTTAAATTTTAATAAGTTTTTATTTTTGTTCCTAATAAATACTCTTAAATGTCATTATTAATTTTTTATTTAAAATATTTAATAAAGATAAAGATGTAAATATGAATATTGAAAATTGACAAGTGCTTTATAAATAAAATTAAATTTTCTCTTTCTACCCTGAATCAAAAGAGTATAAGATAATACTCTTTGTCTAGTCTTAAAAGCTCCTAAAATTTTAAATTTTCATTGTATACGTGAAGGATTGAAATACGATTGAAAAGTTAACTAAAATAATTTTATTGTCCTTTGTGAAACTAAACACATCAATAATTTGTGTAAAAAAAACAAGTGACATAACAAGTGACACGGATGAAATTTACAACTTTCATTAATAGTATAACACCGCTATGAATATAAACAAGTAAGGTTATGCTCATAAACAATTAGTATAGAAAAAATGAACAATTGATATATAAAAAATAAATAATTGATATAGGTGAAATAAGAGTTGCAAATTCATAGTAATGTTATGTTGTTAATGAAAGTTATAAATTTTACATACATCAATTATTTATTTTTTATATATCAGTTATTATTAATTTTTTTACATGAATTGTTCATATATTTAGTTTTATTTCAGTCACTCACGTTTACAGTGAAATTTCATAATTTTAAAAGTTTTCATTAAAATTAAATTGGTCAAGGGGCCTTTATTAAAATTTTTCTTTCATAAAATTAATAACAAGAATTTATAATAAAATAAATAATTTATAAAAGATATATATATATATATATATTAATAATTTAATTAAAAATAAATACATTAAATATAGGGGGTAAATATATAAATTTTTTACAATCTATATTCCATTGGTTTAACGATGAAACAAATACCACGCGTTGAGAATAACAGAGACCCCCAAACTGCTAAAATACTGTCAATGAATTGGAGGAGATTAATCTTGCGAGAAGCAGCTCCCCATTCTTGAAATTAAATCCCATTTGCATAAGCTGCAGCAGAGACTTGTTCACTATGTCATCGCACTGAGTTCCACTATGTTGTGCTCTGGCTATTGCACGTGAAAAGCAGAGCATTACAATAACTCTTGGTTCATACATTTATGGTTGGCCGACCGGCCGTGCCCAGTTGCCTAATGAATGTGATGCAACGCAAAGCATCGAAACGTAAGACGTTTAATCTGTTTAATCGCCATTTGTTTCGTCTCACTTTTCGTATACCATCCTCACGCTCATTCTGCTGCCATTTTTACTCTGCCTTTGATGAATGATGATGCTCATGACAATTCACAATTCTGCTTGAACCAATATTTCCCACGTCCTTGTCGTCACTTAACATTCCTGTTTCGTCCTTCCTGTTTTCCTCCCCGGTTGTCTTCCCTCTGTTCTCAAGTCAAGTGATAAGTCGAAGGCAAATCTAAGACGGACCTTAAGCTATCTATATGCCTCACCAAGTACGAAACACGATCCACCTGTGTGGTTGGAAATAGAGCATGCAAAGCGCGGAGAAGAAGACTAGAATGGAGGAGAGAGAGGGAATGGAGAGGGAGAACGTGAGAAGGAGAGAGCCGAGGATGAGGAAGAAGATTGGGCCGTACATGTAATATTTTATTACAAAAAAGTATTTAAAAATGCAAAGTACTTGCAGATCGTTAAGAAAATTTTTGAGGAAAAAATAACCCTCAATTCTTATAAAAAATATTAAAAAAATGTAAATGATGGAAACAAGATGACAAGCGGGTGAATTTCAAACATTTAGATATAAAAAATGATACAATGGAGTTGAAGATATTTATAGACTCTGGGTGGAAAACATTTAGAACATACAATGAGTTCAAGAGTACTCATGGACTCTAGGTGATAAGTTCAAAAGCAAAAATGACTATTTATGTCAAAATTTATCACTTATCAAGCCAGACTCTTGTTGATTGGATTTAAAGTTGGGCTCAAGTTACATTATAATTTTACATATTCATTCTAAAATATGAATTTAATGTTTAAACTTAAAAATCAGTAATTTAAATGTTAATTTCAAAGTATAAACATGTATTTTAAAATATAAATTTAATATAAAATTTAAAATATCTTAATTTTAAGGATAAAAATAATATGGACTTAAGCAGATATTCCAAATCCTGGCCAGTTTTTGAAGATTTAAAAGAATTAGGTTTAGAAGCCTTTTTAAATATAAATATCTTAATTTTCAAAGCCTGAGTCTTAAAAAGTGAGTTTAAACGGGTAACTCAACAAGCTCAACTCATGTTTTTAATTCTAGTGGAAAATGTGATATCATGTTCCTACAATTCCGTATAGTCCTATTTATCAAATGTTTAAGACATTATTCATGTGTATTTAAAAAATACTATGTTATTTTATTTGTTATTAAAAACATCACAACTTTCCAATTATATCTTTACTAATTAAATGAAAATGATGTGTTACTATCTTATTTGTGCAAATGCTTTCTTAATAAGTTTTTTTTTAAAAAAAAGAGGGGAAGGTTATTTCGATAGTTAGATCACTTTTTATCTTTATAAAATAGGTTTAATTTTTTTTTTAAATTGAGATTGATAATTTATGTGAAGTTTTCACCTTTTTTTAAAAAATATTTTATATCTAATAAGAAAGGAAAAATAGTCCCCAAAAAAAAAAACTTCACGGAAATTCTGGAATATCGATCTAAATGATTTAAATCCAAAACAAAATACTTTACAAACAAGACCACCGTAGGATCTGAATAGTGCTGTTGCAACGTGATCACTACCTCCAATTTTACGTACGCGTACTATGTCTACTCCACCAATGATTTACTATGATATTTATTCCAAGTTTTGGTCACTGGCAGTAGGCAATCTTCCAATTTCGTTTACTCACATATATTTCAACAATTTATCAAAAACTATTCTTTCTCTCTGTCTTTTTTCTCTCCTCTTTAATCCCGAAATTTGGAATGATACCAGGGAGGCGGAATAGGTTGGTAAGAACCAATAATATACTATTAGAGGGAGAAAAACATGGCACAGATTCGACGCCTAAGAGACTTAACTTCGTCGTTGATTCCAAATGCTAAATTCAAGGAAGTTGCACCACATTCGGTCAATTCCTTTTTCAGTTCGTCTTCCTCTTCCTATCTCTCTTATTCCCGTTGTAGTTGTCTGATCTATGCTATTTCTCAGTGACCGTCTTGCATGGGTATATAAAGCAGAGCAAGTGGTTAAAGCATTTTTCATAGGTCTATATCAAAGTCACGTTTTCTCCCATAAATATCTTTAACTATTATCACACAAGAAAGTGATATTAACAACCACATATGTCTGAGAATCAGAGTCTGGGGAACGATCCTATCGGATTCGAATCTGACACATGAAGTCCACGCAGCGACGACGTCGACCTTTCCATAAACTTTTAGCTTGCTCACAGGTATCAACTGCACTTTTAATGCCAAAAAAACGACTGAAGGGTTAATTTATTGTAAGTGCCCGTGGCTTCATTATTAAGTCCTCCCACCTTTATTATTCACATGAATTTTATGAAAATTAATATGGAAAGTTTTGCTCCAACTATAATTTGATCGAGCTCTTGAGCCAAACCTTTTGTTTGTTAATATATAGAGTGCTCTGACATACCTTCTAGTAGGAGAAATTCACAGGTTTCAATGGAGCGCTATGGCTTCTGGTAGATCGAAATCTGTAAGGTCTGCTTATACCTTTGATATGGTACTGCTAGTTTACATATATTTAGACTCACGCCACTGCCTTCTATTACCTTTCCCCCCTCATTTGTAAGTTAAATTTAAATGATTTGTAGTATTCGCTATTAGTACGTCTCGAGTTTTGGTGGTGAAATTCTTAGCTGCATATGTGAATTCAGGTTTCAGGATAATATTGATAAAGATATATTGATGGCTAGCATAGAAAGTGCCATGTCGATGTCAGATCATAAGATGAATGCGAGAAACAGGTTGATGCAGAGAAAAGAACTTTCAAGGGTGTTTTCTGAGGATTATGATGCGTCGACAAGAAAGATATTCGATCCCAGGGGACCGAGCGTAAACAGATGGAACAAGATGTTCCTTGTAGCATGTTTGATTTCATTATTTGTGGATCCCTTCTTCTTTTACTTGCCAGAGGCTAAGAAAGACAAGTGCATTGCTATATCTGCTGCACTCGAAGTTTCCCTCACCACAATTCGGTCCATGGTTGATGCATTTTACATCATTCATATATTTATTCGATTTCAAACTGCTTATGTTGCTCCTTCCTCTCGTGTTTTTGGTAGAGGAGAGCTAGTTATAGACCCTTCAACGATTGCATCAAGGTACCTCCAAAAACACTTCTGGCTTGATCTTCTGGCAGCCCTCCCTCTTCCCCAGGTATGTTAATTATGTCTATATATTTCTAGTCTTAATTTTTACTTTTTCAAATATGAGTATTCACCATTTTTATACATAATTTAGGTGTTGATTATAGCTGTAATTCCAAATCTAAGGGGGTCGCAAATGATTGCTTCAAGGCAGATTCTGCGTCTTGTGATCATTTTCCAGTACTTGTTGAGGTTGTGTCACATCTTTCCCCTTTCATCTGAAATAGTTAAAGCAAATGGACTCATGATGGAAAAAGCCTGGGCTGGGGCAGCTTATAACCTTATGCTCTATATGCTAGCAAGTCATGTAAGTCCCTTGTGATAATTTGGTTGGGTCGGGTTGCTTTCTAATCAAACTGTTCGATACTAATTGGTCCTGTCTTCCTCAAAGGTCTTAGGATCCTCCTGGTACCTCTTGGCAATCGAAAGGCAGGATGAGTGTTGGAAAAAAGCTTGTAATCTTGAGTTCCCATATTGTCACTACCGTTATCTTGATTGTCAAACAAGAAGTGATCCAGTCAGAGCAGCTTGGTTTAGATCAAGCAACCTTTCAACTTTATGTGATAAGAACAGTGATTTCTTTCAGTTTGGTATCTTCGCCGATGCTCTCACTTTGGAAATGGAGGACACAAAATTCTTAAGCCGATATTATTATTGCCTTTGGTGGGGCCTGCGGAATCTCAGGTAATATTTCATTTTGACCTTCGACCTTTTGCTGTCAAGTTTGTGACCATCTAACCAATTCTGTCCAACTTGCAGCTCTCTGGGACAGAATCTCCTGACCAGCACTCAAGTTGGAGAGATAAATTTTGCTGTGATTATTGCCATTCTTGGCTTGGTGCTTTTTGCACTTCTAATAGGAAACATGCAAGTAAGTAAACTTTCATTTTCAATGTATCAACTTTAGAACGGAACGATCTAATATTATTCCGGGACATTTTCTCATGTTCTCATGCATGTTGCTATGAATAGACGTACCTGCAATCAACTACTTTGCGACTGGAAGAGTGGAGAATAAGAAGGACAGATACAGAACGATGGATGCATCACAGGCAGTTACCTCGTCACCTGAAGCAAAGTGTGAGACGCCATGAACAATTCAGATGGGTTGCTACGCGAGGAGTTGACGAGGAATCCATTCTTCGAGACCTCCCTGTCGATATCAGACGCGACATCAAACGCCACCTGTGTCTTAACCTCGTTCGACAAGTGGGTCTTCCTTATCCTTCCCAAATCTCCCTTCATCACAAGCAATGTTCAGATGTTAATAACAGAATATCCACAGGTACCCCTGTTTGATCAGATGGACGAGAGGGTGCTAGACGCGATATGTGAAAGACTGAAGCCTTCTCTATGTACTCAAGGAACGCTCCTAGTTCGCGAAGGAGATCCTGTGACTGAAATGCGCTTTATCATTCGAGGACGCTTAGATTCGTGTACTACCAATGGTGGCAGAAGCGGGTTCTTCAATTGTTGTAGAATCGGACCAGGTGATTTCTGTGGCGAGGAGCTGTTGCCATGGGCTCTGGACCCGCGTCCAAGCGTCGTACTTCCTTCATCAACTCGCACAGTGAAAGCCCTGACTGAAGTGGAAGCTTTCGCTCTCATAGCCGAAGACTTGAAATTTGTGGCAGCTCAGTTCAGGAGGCTACACAGCAAGCAGCTGAGGCACACGTTCAGGTTTCACTCGCATCAATGGAGGGCATGGGCAGCTTGCTTCATCCAGGCGGCTTGGTTTAGATATAAGAGAAGGAAAGAGGCGAGTGAGCTAAATCGTAGGGAGCGTGCAAGGAAGGTGGATGCTAATGAAACTACAACGGACATTTCTCTGCACCTTTGCACTTGCAAACTCTAATAAGTTCCAGTGTTGCGATGCATAAAGCGGCCAAGTTGGGAGGCAGCTCGAGGAAAGGTGGAAGCTTGCGATATGGTTCTGAACTTGATATTCTTGGTTCACTGAGGAAGCCTCTTGAACCTGATTTCAGTACTGTTGAAGACTGGTGAAGTATGGCTGGGATTATGTATGCATATTCTCTGTTCACGCATGTCGTTCGAATTACCAGTGTGAAATAATTAGCTAGGAGATTCGGGCTACTTCACTCCAGTGTCATTCAGCATGCTCCAATCTTATTCAAATATAGCTTCTCGTTGGGTTTGGACTTTGGATGGCAATAATTTTTTTTTTTAATCTTTGAATAAACAAAATTGAATGTTGTAGTTCTCACTGTCAAAACTGAAAACATACTCCAATCTCAAACAGCATCATTTATTTTCTAGGACTGTAGTTTTTTCCATGACAAAACATTCCCAAGTGAATTTTTAAAAAAAACGAAAGCATTAAAACCTCTGTTGTACGCCGGGCCGAGAACATGCATGACCTGGCCCAAATTTAACTAATGAATCTGGCCCATGATTGTAAAGCAATTGGCTCTGCCCCAAAATAAAAATCCTTAACAAATAACAACCTTTTGCTTTTGGTAGAAAAACCTCAGCCATTTTTGATAATAAATAGTTTGATGAGCAGTGCCATGCAGCAGAGGGGATGGTGTGAAGCAGGGACGAATTTAGCCCCCCCCCCCCAAAAAAAAAAAAAACAATTTGATTAGCCCTTAAAAAAATGTTAGAAATTTTTTTATTTTACTTGTAAAAAAGTGAAAATTAATATTAGTGCCCCATATTTTAAGCATTTTTCATTTGTGCCACCCATTTGTTCTTTTCTGGATTTGTGCCTGGTGTGAAGATGTCTTTTGGACTTATAATGCAAAAAGTCTAGCCCTAGATTCTTCAGCCGAAGAGGCGCAACCGCGTAAGATCCATATTCCAAAAATCCAAATCCACTTGCAAGACTACATGATAAAACCGTAAAAGAAAAGGCTTTTTGCTTTCTGATACGAATATGATTTCTTTTTTCCGGTCAAAATTTTTACCTTGAATGTCCTACTTCCCAGTCACTACTAGTTCCCCACTTTCTCTTTTTCTTTTTTAAACTTTCCGAGAAATGAATTCGATGAAAGCAAATTGTTACAATTTGTATAATGTATATACATAGGGTGCGTTGCCAATTTCAAGTTCCAATAACTAAATAATGCAAAATTATGCAGAGGCAAGAAGGTAAGTCAGTTTCGAATATCAGAGGCTCAGAGCAAGGATTCATGATTAGAGAGTCAATTACATTCCTACTACATGGTATCTACTCCTTCACAGTTCACAGCATCATATATATTTCCTTCGAAAATATGTCTTGCGAGCTAACCAACCCAGATCCTAGTAATATCAATGCCTTTTCTCCCCTCTAATCGATGCATTAAATTATTAAGCTATCCCATTGACTATCATGGTGCTGGCATGCCTAAAACAATAATAATATGATTTTTATCCTCCACTCCCTCAAAGTACATAGGTGATCTCTCACCAACCCATCAATCATATTTTCAAACATTGCGCATTTTATATTATTACAGTGATGAAACCAACACATCTGATATATCTGCTGATGACATGAAAATCCCAGACCCACCGAGTTCGTTCGTGTGAATGTTTCAGAAAGCAACGTCGGAGGTGCTGAGAAATGCATGTTGAAGCATTCACGTTGTCTCGAGAATAGAAGACAAATGGTCTCTGAGGGAGCCATATCACTTAGTGCCTTTCATGTTCCAATGCCGATTTTATATATGTTTGTCTTTTCTTCCGAAATAATCGCTCTTGAAATATTTGGAGGATCTCTGTGCGTGAACTCCATCAAGTTAACGGACTCTATTGTCACGGATGATATCTTCGTGACCGTGTAAAGATCAAGATAATGAACGATCCGCTGGTTAGCCTCGCACAATATGGGTAAAGGGGGTGACATTAGCATTGGGGGTGTTCTGCCTCAGTCTTCGGACTGAGTGCACAACTGGTTGGGGGCTGGTGCCGCCTCCCTGATGAGCCCATGACAGGGCGAAACTAGTGTGATCCGTATGTGGTAAGGCTTGTCCTGAGGATTATGGGGTCCTCCAGGACGCCGCACGGGCGCCATGTGCTGCGCCAGACTCTCAGCCCGTGATAGAGTGGTATCAGAGCCGGACGTACTTTACTGTCGTGTGCGCGTGGGGTCCCACGTTGGGACTGGTCGACCTCGGCACCGCTCCAGAAAGGCCTCCGAGCAGGTGGGTCCAAAAGTGGGGACTCGGGCGGGAAGGTTGGCCGTTGTCGACTCCACTCCTGTTGGCTCGCGGGTGCGAGTGGGTCCGAAAAGTGCAGGACTCGGGTGGCCACTCAACAGTAAGCTGATGTGTTTGTGGCAGTACTGTACGTATGATCCTTGGGCGGAGTCTTTCTCCCCTAGCACGAGGGCGTGCTAGATTGGGTGTGGGAGAATGTCACGGATGATATCTTCGTGACCATGTAAAAACCAAGATAATGAACGATCAGCTGTTTAGCCTCGCACAATATGGGTAAAGGGGGTGACATTAACATTGGGGGTGTTTTGCCTCAGTCTTCAGACTGAGTGCACAACTAGTCAGGGGCTGGTACCGCCTCCCTGATGAGCCCATGGCAGGGCGAAACCAGTGTGATCCGTATGTGGTAAGGCTTGTCCTGAGAATTATGGGGTCCTCCAGGACGCCGCACGGGCGCCGTGTGCTGCGCCAGACTCTCAGCCCGTGACACTATGCACCTCAATTTTTGGTTCTTATTTCGGGTCATTATCCTCACCTATCTTGCAGATTACTTCTCTCATTGTTAATTACAAGTTTAAATGTTACACTTTGTTTTTTTTTTTTTTAATGAGCTATCAATATCTGGTTGCTCGCCTTTTAAAATGAAACAACCATTTCATGTATTCTAGTGGCGCGCTGAAACAAAAGTCGATATGACTAGAATTGAATATTCAGGGAAATAAATTAATTGGACCCAAACTTGGATTGTCGTATAATGTTCTCTTGTCGAGTATAATGGGTTGGCGTGATATGCATGGTAATAATCCAAATGTAATTTTGAACCGCATTACTTAAACTGTGAGGTGTTTTAAACATTGATCTATACATATTTGTGGGGTGGGTCATCGATCCAAAAATGTTAGCATAGTTTTTTCCCGCATTTTCAAATGTTGTCTTCACAAAGCAATCAAAAGCACATGTCACACACTTGATTGCGTATCATTGCCCCTTTGTTTGAAGAGTACTTTGTTTGACCAGACCTGCTTGAAGTTTCGCGCCGGGATCATTAATTTTTAAACGCAGAAAAAGAATGACAGCAAGATCAAAATTCATCTGTGAATGGCGTGGGAGTCCATTTTAATATTTTTCTGCTTGTTCAAAAGTAGTCCATAATTTGTTGATAAAAAAATAAAAAATAAAAAAGAAGGACTTGTTCAAAACAATCCATGATTAAAAGCAGCTTTATGGCTTCATTGAGTTGTGTGATATCAGCAGGGTAAGTTACTAGTATGACAGAAGAAATGCAGTCAAAAAGGTGTTGTTACTCAATCGTTCAAAAGGGAAACTACTGATTACGTCTTCTTAATCATTTTCCAAACAAGGTTACATGTTAAAAATGCGGGAGCCCGATTGCCATTACAGACGATGCAGATGTCTTAAAAGAGAAGAAAAAATTAAACAAACAAAAGACACTGTTTTGAATGAAAGCATTCATGTCCGAGTACTGTCTGGGCAAATCGCTATAACTTTTTCATTTCTTCTAAAGTAAGGCTTTTCTGTCGACACGAAAGTCAGCTAACAGTAAAAGCCTATTATTTCTCGTTATATATGCAAGGCCATGAAAAAATCGGCAAGTAGACAAAATTGACCAACGGCACCAAATTCCAAAACCAGGTCGGTTATATAATATATACTCACTTCACGTCTTCGCCCACAATGGTCAAAGTCCATGAAATTAGGCTTTGGCTTCTAAACCATTTCACTGAGGCATTATACGCACGCGAGCATGACCACATAAAGTTTCTTTTATGACTCAGCTGGCAGGGAAATGTAATACACACACCTACGTACGTCGTGTATGGCTCAAAAAATAACAGAGCATAATTAGTGGCAGTATATAGCAACCCTATCTGGATAGTACCATGAGTGAAATCATGCCCTGCATTTCCATGCAGAGCGATGAGAATAAATAATGATGATTGCAGCAGTAATCGATGAGGGGATAGTGTGACAGTGACAGTGACAGAGAAGTGATTGACACGTGTAATGACCCCATTGAAGGGTGAATGATGAGGGTGGGGCTGGGGTTTAATGGTCACCCTCCCCAATCCCTGGCTTATAGCGAGCATAAAGTTATGGGCCGAAGCGCTGTGTTGTGGACCTCCGAGTCAAACCACTCAGTGCTCATGACTCATGTAGCAGCCTTTTTCGTCTCTGTTTTATCCTTTCCTTTCCTTTGATCCTCCAATATGCATTGCCGACCACACCCTGCATCATCCCTTTCGCCCATTTCTTGCCCCTCTATTTTCTGGGAAACTCTCGGGACTCGTGCTGTTAGACCTTCTGAATTTAATTGTCCACGTCATTGTATCCATATACATCGTCCTGCTAATTCATACTTAACCTTAAATGCTTTCAATTGGATCATTAGAAGGGAAGCATCATGGGTGAAATTTGGATAAAGAAAACAGAGCGTCGACAATGGTGCCGGCCAAGCGTGACAAAAGGGGGCAAAAGGGAAAGAAAGGAAATCAAGGGGTACACACTATTAATGAATGAATATAAAATTGCAAAACAACGGGAGGAGGCAGAAAATGACCACACGAATACATGAGAATCAGGGCGAGAAAAGATAGAATTCAAACGGAAGCGGTTGTTTAAGGACAAAAGCAAGCGTAATTAAAAAAAATTTAAAGAAAGAACCGTTGGCATGAGAAAGCTAATGTTTTGTTTCTTAGGACACGGTCACATGGGCAGGACAACAATGGGAGGGCAAGAAGATGGCATGGTGGGGATGAAGTAGTGGGAATATAGTTGAATGTATTGCTGGGAAGGGACTGGAAAAGGAGATTTATTACCGTGCAAGAAAGAGGTGATGTGCGATGGTGTGTGAAAATGGATGTTGAGGCTCCTCAATTATGGGTCACATCCAAACAAACAAGGCGGTGTCCGGAGGGCGAGGAATGGTTGAATGAGTACAGGGGGACATGTGAGTGTCTTTACCCAAACAAGACGCACACATCGCTG